CTGTCTTTATTGCAGCGGTCGGGCAGGTGACGGGGCCGCTCCTTTCTTCTCTCGTTAGCGCCGGGTCGTAGCCTTGGCGGAGGGCTTGCTGTGAGCAAATCCCTGCCTTCCACAGACAGGGATGCTCGCTCCGGGCTTGGATGTCTTTTGATTTCCGAGTGGATTTAAAATCGCGAAATAAGCCCTTCGATGAATATCCTGAAGGATGTCGGGCCTGTGGTGTTCATCCCACCGTATTGTGCCTGGCATAACGTGTGCCCACGATCCCATTCAGCCAACTCCTCTCCTCTGTGGTTTCAGAAACGCGGTGAGAGAAATGGCTTTTGTAAAAGTCCACTGTCTTTTGTTTTGTTTTAGATGGTGGATGTTGATGTTCGTGTGGGTGGAGATAGTACCAGAAGAAAAATGGATGCCCTGGCAGATAGTGCAGTTGAGATTGTCCCTTTGGAGCTCTATGATTCAGCCAGAGCAAAAATAGCTGCTAATCTACAATGGATCTGTGCTAAAGCCTACGGAATAGGTAAGATCACTTCTATCAAGAAGTAATTCTTGGTTTTGTTCTTCCTTCTTCTGTCTCCCGTGTCATTCCAGAAGTAATTAAATTGGGCTTAAATCACCTTTGTTTTAAATAACGATAATATGACAGTTAGTTCTCTTATAACATTGTGCATTTCCTGTCACCTTTGACAGGAATAATGGAACTTATGTGATATGCTCTGAATCAGCAAACGTAAAGGTGAACGCTCAGAGATGGCCCTTGCGAAGAATTCAGACCTCAAAATGTTTAAATCCTCATTTTAGCCACATAGACGTTCTTCCACAGTGCTGTATGTCACTGCTAGCACTGAGCCCTTCCAGGCTGTGAAGGCTTTAGGCCACTTCCTGGGCTAGTCATCTTGGACAGTGGATGCTAGGGCCTTGACATCCTTGGTGTGTTCAGTTAGGACTTTAGGTTTTGGTCAGATTGTGGTTTTGGTTTCAAAATGAACTAAAAATCAATCTACTTATGATCAGCAACATTCTTTTATGTAAAAGAAACATTGAATGAGCAGGTACAACGTTACTGCTGTTCTGTGTCATTAAACAGCAAGTTGTAGGTGATAGAGGAATTCATCTTTCCCTTCTGTTGCCATAAGACTTTACAGTCAAACCTGGAAAAATAAACATTCTTGGAGTATCATTTGTAAAGTATTTTCCTGGCATCTACTGAAATTTGCTCTTTTGTTTTGCTCTAGATTTGTCTGCATATTCTGGATTATTGTTGCTAGGTGCTTCTTGAGTTTAAGTAGCTTCATTATGAAGAAATAGGATGGAATACTAATGGGTTTTGTTTATCCAGCACAAGATAGATAATAAAAACGTGCAGAATCTTGTTTTGGAAAATGAGGTAGCCCTGTTAATCTAAGTCTAATTCGCCAAACTCATAATATGCTTAATGGCTTAGCACTAGCTTACTTTGTGACAAGGCTAAAGCAGCCCATTCCTGCAGTTTAATATTAAGCCTTGTTGGAATATTTTTCTAAATTCTTTTCTTTTTTAATATTTCCAGCTCTGTCAGTGTTCTCATCATCTTGGTTGTGGGGAAAACAGAAAATCATGGGTTTATAATGTTTAGTATTAGTGAAGGTATTTCATTACAAGTAACAAGAGACCAAAAAAACCATCAAACGTTTATCAGATTACGTTTAAAAAACATGGGAATTTTGGGAGGGTGTTAGTAAAACGTTGATAACTGAAAAGAACTGAGCAGGCATTTCCTCATGTAAATATTTTTCAGTGGCTGGAATTGTTTGTGACGTTTCCTGAAGACTTTTTAGTGATCAGAGATAAAATGGATATTCCAGCCATGGAGACACACTATTTATATTATGACTTTGTTTCGAAAGAAAGCTAATCCTAAATTAGAATGGACTGGCATGGATCCTGTGCTGCAGAGAAAGCTTTACGGCCTTGTGTTTCTTGGTGCTGTCTTCTGGGGCTCCAGAGTTCAGGATGGTGTCTGTACCTCTTGGACCAGTTAAAAGCAGGTCTGCTGAGGCACTTGACCATTACTTCTGCAATAGCACTGCAAAATACTTAGTCATTTATAAGCCTCTTTAATTCATAGAGAAACAGGTTTAAAAAGGTTTCGTATGTGATTTTAATTTTGACTAATATTTGAACGTACCTTAGGATTATGTTTTTGTTTTAACGTACTGGATGCTGCTCAGTGAGTCTTGGGTAGCTACGGAGCAATTCAGTTTGATGAAAAAAATGCTTCTTTGTTTGTAATCTTAAAACACTCTCATGTTCTGGAGTAGTTCTTATCTGATAGGGTTTCCATAACTGCCTTCTAATGGCTAAGTAAAGAGTGTTTGTCTGAAATGTTACATTTAGAATCAGTGTGTATGAATTGACATAATTTTGTGCCTGAATCTTTCAAATGCTGGTGCGTATCCTGGATTTCACTCTCATCTGAGTAAGGCTAAACTCACAGTGAAGTGTGGGAATGGTCAAGAACAGGAATTGGATTCTAGTGTAGACTGTTACTAGAAGTCATTCATCGCTGCAGGTTTTACCTGAAACTGTTATTTCTATTTACATGAAAGGATGTTTAAATTCTCCACATCTAAGCTGGCACCTAAGTAGGGGAATTCTTTATCCTTTCTTTGTTTTCTCAAGGACAAATTACTGAGAGCATGCATGACAAGTAATTTGGAGTTGAAGTCCTAGTTTGGGCTGTGCTTCATATGATGATGCATTCCTCCTTTTTTCCCCTTCTGGCCATGAAAAGAGAGAATGTTGATAGCCAAACAACTCAGCACAGCTACCTTCTCTCTTCAACACAAATCCTGCTAGTGAGGCAACCCCTCTTCTTGCATAGGAATTGGGCTGGATGCTTTGTTTCTGGAAGCCCGTAGCTCCTTCTGTCCATCTGTGATGGATGCCCGGTTGTTACAGATGGACTCCAGAGGGAGGTCTTACAACTGTTTGTCTGAATTCCAGAGGACAGCAGGGAAGGATGCTGTGAGGAGGGTGTTTCCCCAGTCAGTGTCATCTGTCTCCCCCCATAAATCTGGAAGTCTATGGAGCTGGAAACCTTCTATGCTCTTGGAAGATTATGAAGTCCATTTAGCTGAGACAGTAGTTTGAGGGAACAGAGTTTAATTGGAACAGAATGATCTTTTTCATCAGCAAACTTCGATTAGACCCAAACATGCACTTTAAGGAATTCTACTAGCAATGTGAAAATACAATTGATTTCATTTAAGTGACCGAGGAGCAAGGGTGCCACTGAGTTTGTGGAACTTCAGTTCACAGGAGGTGAGTGTGGGAGGTTTAGAGAGGCTTGGCAAGCTGTCCGTGGGAGAGAGCACTCTTTCACAGTCAGTGGAATGAACCAGTCTGCCAAGTGGTAACAGGACCATGCGCTGCAGAGCTGAGCTGGGGGGAGCAGACCTGGTCCTTCGGTGCTGCTGTCCCCTTGGGCTCTGAGCAGCAGCAGTCAGGATGAACACAACCAGCATGGTTTTGTTTGGTAGAACATGGGAAAAGAGTTAATGGCAATGAAAACATTTGATTTCTCAGCAGATTTAGGTAGTACAGCATTAATTTATGCGTAGAAATTGTTTCCCGTCATCATGGTTATAGTATTAAAGTTTAGATGTAGAAGGAGTATCTGCGAGTTTTTCAGTGTTGCAGCTTGCTGGGAGCAAGTGGGCTGTTTGCTACCCTTTCAATAACAAACGTTGCTTCTTTAAATCTGTCTGTAAAATTTGGATTCTTCAAAATGAACTTGGTGGGGTTTACTTATTTGTTACGCCAAGGAGCTTTACATTGTTTCCAGACTTAACGCTAACATTAGCCCCAAGACCTTTGGCAAAATACAGGCAGGAAAGCCAAGGACTAATGTAATGTATAGTAGGGGAAATGCAAGTTGTGGCTTTTTTTTGGTCTTTGAAGTACTTAATACTTACCTGTTAAAGAAGGTTTTACAGTACCGTAATATCTACCTGCAGTTACTGGTTGGTAGAGGGTGAACATGTTTCCTGGGGTAAATTGCTAAAATTCCTGGGATCCCTGCTTCTTCACGTCTGTTGTAAAAGTATATTTCAGCAAGCTGTTGTGTTTTGCAAATGTTTGACAGTTACACATTTGTTTCTTTAATAATGCCATTCATAAACACTGAATATTACTTGTGTGAAGTTTACAGGGGTGAAGAATTCCCTAATTATTACTGTCTCTTCCGCTTCATCCAGGTTTGTGGCTTTATGCTTGATCAAAAGATATGATAATGAGAGAGCGGTCACTCTCACCAGCGGTATACGAAGTCTTTAGCATGTTTTTCCTGCCTGTTGTATGTAAATGTTCACATGTAGTATTATAGGAGTGTAATACAGTTCTGCAATGAGAACCAACATAAAATGGTTTTAGTATAATGCAGATGGTCTTAGTTGCTGAGAATGTGGAGCTTCTGCTCATGATCTGCAGCTAGATGACATCCATGCAGTACTAAATAATTCTGTGAACAGATACTGATACTAATGAAATCCTGCTCAGAATTTGAATAAGCTCCATTCTGTTTACCAGGATGCTTTGGCTCTCTTTCCATGTGAAACCAGTTCTTCGTGCTTCTGGAGGTAAAATAAGATCTGGGGTGTATCCACCTCTCCAGTTCAAGGGATAAGTCAAATTTGTTCAGATTGCCGTATTTTTCTTTATCAAATCATAATCAGATAGTTGTCTTTGAACAAGTTTGTGTCAGTGAGATGATACCCTAAAGCAAGGAGAGGAGCAATAATCATCTCTGATGGTTGTTACAAGTGAAGTTGTTTTTGTAATCCTCTAAACTCTGTCGTATACATTGATTTATATTTGAAACTGACATTGTTTGGAGAGATTAGAACTCATTGTTATGACAGAACAGACGGAAAGAATTGCTTCATGAGAAATAATGATGGTTTGGTTTTGACTCCTTCATCTCATAAAAATAGCTGCTACAGGTGTCTCTCCAGTGGGGCAAGAACACATGAGAGTTTATGCTGCTGAAACTTCGAAAAACTATGTTATTACTTTGCATTTTAAGTGTGGGAAACAGCAAAAATGAGCATTTTGCTCTATAATGAGTTGACTGGATGCAGCTGAGTAATGGGGTGTAAAAATTACATAGATCTAGTCACCTCTGATATGGAGTGTAGTGTGGTAAATTCTTCAACAGAAACTTAGACAGACTGCATTAATGATGAATGCCTTCACAGATCTGATTATCAGGTATAAAACTACTGATAGTTCTTAAGCTTTATGTCTTTTGAGCACCTCAGTTTGTCTAAAACTGGCAACTGTAAAGCTTGCACGAAGTTGATGCAAACATTTTTCCTGGGATAATAACTCAGAAAGCACATAAGGAAAAACAGAAGGTGTTTGCAAGCTTTTTGATAACATGAAATAGTAACATAAAAGACCTTTTTATATGGTTTAATTGGTTTTGGTTTGCCGTGGTACAGTTTGTTGAACTGCTTCAGCAGAAATGTGTGGCTTAGAAGCTTGGAAGTTAATTGCTCAGAATTTAATTTTTTGTGTTGATTTTTTCCAAATTCCAAAGCATAAATGTATATTCCATTAATGAATGGAATTTTTCTAACCTCTAAGTTCAGTCATAGGTCATGAAAGTAAGGTGTTGAAAAAGATGCTTATAGAAACTGGGACTTGGAAAGACAGGGACATTGTCCCTAAGAAGAGCATCGACACATTCAGTAGCGAGGCAAGCAGAAAGCATACGGCACAGTTGGAGTTTGTCTGATCCATAAAAACTGGGGAGAAGAGCTCTCCATGATGCTGGTGACTGCTGGTGTATCCATAGTGGGCTGTTGAAATGAGCAATGGATAGTATGATTAGGTCCAGTATGAAGTAAACTGGAATTAAATAGTAAAGTTAATATGTGAATGTGGTTTTTGTATGTAAAAATTTCTGTGGGCCTTTAGTTAGGACATCAGTTTAGTTATGAAACTGTTCCCTTCTGTCACAGATAGGCAAATTTAGCTGGCAGAAGTGCTGAGTACACTAAGGTAGAAAATAAAACTGGGCAAGTGTTTACAGTGAAATAAGCTGTAATTATGGGAGGATTAGTATTTATTAATAACTTCTTGTGATAGTATTCAGGTTATCCTCGTACTAGAAGATATCCCTACCCATCTTTGATCCTGGTCAGTCTAAATCCATTCTGTCTTTAAGCCATTATATGGAGGTCAGAAACATTAAGTTGGGGAGTTCTTCAGTATAGAAGAAAAAGATCTCGGATCTATTGGCTGGATGATGAGACTAAAGAACAGCAGCCAAGATACAAGATGCATTATTTATTTTTAAAAATATACTGATTTCTGTGGCATGAAATCTCAGCATTAAGAACTAGATTCATTTATTTCTAGAAAAGGCTTTTAAAATCATTAAAATATTGCTAGTTTAAGTGAAAATTAATGTCACACAGGCAGCTGAGCTTCATGTTCCAATAGCCTCTTCTGTTTTAATAGTGTGTGTAAAGACTCCAGTCGAATAGACCTTAGGGGGATGTGAGTGTTGAAGAGAAAGCTTTTTGTAGTTCCAGTCTATAAAACAATCAGTCTACCTTGTGGAAGAGGGACCTGAAGAAAATGCTGGGTGAGGTGTCCCTGGTGCAGTGGGCTGTGAGGACAGCCGGCGCGTTGGAGGAGCTTCAGGGCTCTTTGTCCAGCGTTACAGCGCAGTTTCAGACAGTCACCTCGGTTACCCTGCTCAGCAGGGGGCTGCAGAGCTGGTGGAGGGCAGATGTTCCCACTAAACCCTCATCCGAGTACTTCAGATTCCACACATTTTGAATTTGCATTTTTCTTTTTGTCTTAAAAAAGCCTTTAAAACTTGGAGTGCTGCGCATGCTCTTGCCAGAAGTGTACTGCTTCATGGATATTTCATGAGCTACTATCCTATTATTTCCTTTCACAAATAATTTTAGTAAAAATCAGTGTATTTTGACTGTTAAAGGTGCAGCTGCTTGTAAGGAAGCTAAAACGTTGAATTCTGTGAGCTGCTTTATGTTTCGATTTTTGGATCTTTCCTCAGTCTTTAGAAACGGAAGCTCTAGTTCTCCTTCTGGAAATGACAATGACCATTAAATGGAATTAGCTTTCAACAGCCTTTGATTTTAGCTCAGGTTGACTAATGTTAAGAAGATTAAAAATATTTGAATTTATTCTCTATTTTACTAAAAATGGAGACCCACATTAACAAATGCTACTTCTGTAGTGCCATGGGGGTTTAATTGTGTCTCTTCCAACCATCTTTGGTATATAGTGTGTATATCATAGCAGTCAGTGTCACATAAAGGAAAAATAGTGATCTTAGTTTTTAAGAGCTTCAAAGAGCTTTCCATTTTGAACAACAGTGATGGAGCTGTATGAGTGGCAGTCAGAGCTGCTACACCAACACTAGTTTATTGCATGTTTTTATTTAAGATGTATTCTGGCTCGTGTAATTGATAACATTCTGTCTCAGTTTCTCTTCTTCATGAGCATTAAGTGCTCTGCACTACACGAATCCCGTGTGGCTCATTTTGCAGTTCAAAGATACGCTATGGGTGGGAGGGTTTTTTTGAATGGGGAGATTTAATTATTCTGGAAATGAGCTGAATGAAAAGTAAACACACTGCCAAATTAATAATTCTTTTAGCTGGAGATGTACATATTTAAAGGAACAGTTGAAGTGACTTCAGGGGAAGATCTTCAGAGTGACTGGATAGCATAAGATAGAATCTTATGTTTGGAAATGATGAAATGTTGGGCTGCTGTTAAGACAACACACTTGAGGCTAGAAAGTGTTCTTCCTGGAGCTGAAGACACTCATTATTACTGCCAGGCTGTTATAAAGATCAATAGCCTCTAGTCTGTTTACTGATGATGAGTGGAAGTATTTATTTTGGGATATATCTATTTTTAACTTGGTTTATGTCTTTTCAATAATACTAAGAAACCATTGCTCACAACAGCATTTCCTTCTACCTTCAGCTGTTGAGATCAGTCGACATTTGCCTTGTGCTGTAGTGTCACAACCTTTAACATTGGCAGCACATCAGCTAGTAATGTATGGATTTGGAATGTCCTGGACGTGTTTAGAGTGATCGGAATATTAGTTGTTGTTAGCGCCTCTTTTTCCTGCCAGCTACGAAGCTGTGCTGATGAGCAGCCAAAGTGTAAGTCTTTGTGAGGGTTGGAAAGTGGTGGAGAAGAAGTTTAGAACCAAGACATGGGTGGCTTAGTTTTCTTTTTGAGTTTGAGAATGCTTGGCTGGCCCCTCTTGGTGACCGAGCCTTGCAGTTGTTGAGATTGCTGTGCTGTGTATCCCAAATTGCTTTGGGATATTGCTTGAAGTAGCTGTAAATTTTGCTTTGAAGATATATCAACCCTGCCACTCTGACAGAGTGTTTTAGCCTGTGAGCTAAGTAAATTATTTATAATTCCATATAAAAATTAAAATACTCTGCACTCATCAGCAGAGGTGATGGTGTATCACGCTGATTAAGCTGGGCCTTGTTCTGGGAGACTGCTAGAGATGTGTAGAGGAGCTTGTGTCCATGTTGAAATGCTTTCTTGTAAAGGACTCTCTCTTGAGAAAGCAAACTGGTGATGTAAAGAATTTTTACTGAAGAATGTGTATGTCCGAAGCCAATTCTACATGCTTCACTTAACTAAAGTTTAAGCACAAAGACCTGTTGAAAACCATTTGCAATATGAAACTTCAGACTTACTTATGTTTGGTGGTTTTTTGTGCTTGTATTTTTTGTTAGTTCATACACTGCCTTTGAATTAAAGGAAAAACATTTACTTGTGTTTATAACTGGTGCCACTTACCGGTGCCGCTTGTTGAAACGTTTCTTTGTTCCAGATAACGTCCCAGAGGAGCTGAAGGACCCGTTTTACATCGATCAATATGAGCAGGAGCACATTAAACCGCCCGTCATCAAGCTGCTGCTGTCCAGTGAGCTGTACTGCCGCGTCTGCAGCCTCATCCTGAAGGGCGATCAGGTGGCTGCTCTGCAGGGACACCAGTCGGTGATCCAGGCTCTGTCTCGGAAAGGGATTTACGTCATGGAGAGTGATGATACACCTGTGTCTGAATCTGATCTGGGCTGTGCACCAATCAAAATGGTTAGCTTAATTAAATCCACCTAATGATCTTCTTTTTATTTAACGCTGTTTAAAATAGTTAATGGAACAAAGAGCTCTTCATTTCTAGGTCACTAACCTCAGGAATTTTTCATTTTAAATACAGTTAGAATATATAATATTTTTTTCTTAAAGGATTTTTTTTTTCCAATGCTCATTGTTTTCTTCTTTTAGAGTTCTCATATGGCAATGATTGATGCTCTGATGATGGCCTATACTGTAGAAATGATCAGTATTGAAAAGGTGGTCGCTAGTGTCAAGCGTTTCTCTACATTCAGTGCCTCAAAAGAACTGCCCTATGATTTGGAGGATGCAATGGTTTTCTGGATTAACAAGGTAGAATTTACTTTGAGAAACATGTCTGTTTCTTATTGGCGTTTTTCAGATTTTCAGTGTCTTCCTTCCATCGTTCTTACCTGGACAGTTTTATCACCTGTTCCACCTCACCTGAGGAGAACTGCTTTAATTACTGTGTTGTCACTTTTACCTCAAGTCCAATGGTATCTGGGTATAATATTCTCCTAATACAGATTATTATTAATGGTACTTGATTCCCTTATTACTGCAGCATATTCCAATTTCATCTTCAGGCTTGGCTTCCCAAGGTTTCTATAAGCATTGGGAAAGAGAATCAAATTAGCAGGGAAATTCAATTTCTTTTTCTTAGAGATGCTGTAATAAAGCTGGTAAATTTTTCAAGGCAAATTTTGAAATACATAAGATAATTAAGAACTAAATTAGGAATACTGAAGAAATTGGGTTCTTTATTTTTAGACAAGCTGCTACGAGGTTTGGGGTTTCTTTTAGGTGAAGCATTGTTTCATGTTAAATAACAGGATAGACTTAATTCTGACTAACTTGAGTACATTTAACAGAAATACTGAAACTTTTCAAAGGATAGAGGTTGTTACTGAAACCCTTTTGAGTGACAACAGGTCACATTCCAAAGAGAATGTCTCCTTTGCAAACCCAGGATTCCCTTGTGATTATAGCTACTGCTAATAAGTGAGCTGGTTTTGAAAACTGTTGTAACACATTATTCTATGAACTTCTTATGTTTGTAGAATGGATTGACCATTAAGTAAGGGGAAGAAGAAGAAAACTTGACTTGTGAAAATGTTTCAAATGTATTTTAGTGTCTTTCCTATTCCATGCCCTTTTAGGTGAACCTTAAAATGAGAGAGATCACAGAGAAAGAGATTAAATTAAAACAGCAGCTAATGGAAAGTCCAGGACACCAAAAGGTAACCTAAATTTGTCTTCAGTTGTGACTTTTGATAATTAATGGATTTAAATATCACAATAATTTCTTTGTTGGAGAAACATGAGGTGTCCGGTCCCCAAAACTCCTGAGGTTTTGTTCATGTAGTTTGTTCTCTGTGTATCATCAGTGCCCTTCCTTACCTTTCAAGCCCACTGGTATCTTCTGACTTTTAAGTTTCAGCTGGACAAAACCAATTTGCTTCAACTTAAAATAACTTGTATCAACTTTACATGGGTAATAAATATGACTCAGCTTTCACAGCACAAAATATATGTGTTATATATTTTGAAAGCTGTTGGGGCATATTCATTTTGCATGGGTGAATTGTCTAATGTGTATTCAGAGGATTATTCAAGTTCTATCTCGTAAGCATACTCTTGGCATTCAAATGTTATATGTGTTTGTAGTTTCTTCCACCCTTTTCCCTTGAAATTATATCACAATGCACTGACACTGCAAAATAAGAACACTTTCATGTCTGGAGAATGTAAACCAGATCTTTCTCAAACGTACTGTGCATCAGCTATCTCAGATCCCAAGTTATGATTTAACGAAGCCTTAAAAAACCTGCTATGTTTTTTCCTCAAATTGGCATTGCTGTGTAGAGGTGATAAAAGTGTGACACATGAACAAGGCACAATTGATTTAACTTTTGTGTCGTTGTGGCAAAGGTTTTTCATGTGCTTGTTATGTAAAATATTCTTCAACAATAAGGGACTAAAGAGCTGTTATGTACAAGTTGATGCATGGTCTGAAGGATCCCTTTAACTACGTGATTCTATTGACTTCTGGGTCTCATTTCAATATTTTTAGATCTAAATTTTAGGCTACAACCCCTCTAAAATATGAAAGTGTTTTTGCTGAAGTGCATTTAAGTATTACTGCTTTTAACTTGCATTGCTGATGTTCCTTTCCTATTCCTACATTCCTTTCCTTGCTTCCTGAGCAGTCTCCTTCCAAATGGTATTGGAAATTAGTACCTGTAAGTGAACTACTTTTACACCAGTTGTCATCCACAAAATCATGGCTTTTTAAATTTCTTCAGAGTGTTTGCTTCCATTACAATGCTTCTTAGATGGTCTTTGCACAAAAAAAACCCGTAAGCTTTTGGATCATCAGGCTTAGTTTTCATAACATGATTTTTGCATACTGTACAGCATATAGCATAATCACTTCACTTCAAAATTGTTTGCACAGTGCAGGAGTGAGGGATATGGAGTAACAGCAAAAAACTAGAAAATTAGCAACAGTTGAAATGGTTGCATTTACTGATGTTGTAAGCAGGCAATTGATGATAGCACTAAGGTGATATAAGCTGGTCAGTTTAAATGGTTGTTTAATCTTTGAATCCATAGTTCAGATACTCAGAGCTTTGCAGTAGCTCATTAAATAAGGCTCTTGCACAGGTTTGTAAATCTGTCAAAACCAGAGCACCATTATTTGTTGAGATGGGGTAGAAGATCAGACAAACCAGTTTGGACCCATTTACGATAGTTCCTGGAGTTGTCTGCTAAATTAATGCTGCCATAATGGGAGGAGGAAAGGCAGTTTACGTATCAGAACAAAACACTTATTTTCTTTGTGGTGACATGTGAAGTGGAATTTCAATTCCAGTAGATATACAGAAAAAAGCAATCAAATTGTATACAAACCTGCTTCTTTTTGGCTGAGTTTTCTTGAGTTTATATCAACTTGCAGAGATTTTACTTTGTTCCTTTGCTTTCCTTAGACCTACTACCCTTTCCCTGCACTTGGAGTTGGTGTTTTCATTTTCTCCCTGGGAAGATGAGAGCTGTTGTCTCTTTGCAAATTCCAAAGAGCAGTGTGCTTGGAAAAGGCCGGTGTGATGGGCACAATCTCTGCTCAGTGCCACTCCTCGGCCTTTTACTCCTCTATTTGCTTGAACCAAATGTATGGACTGCAGTAAAGAACTTGAAATATCTGAAATAAAGGAATTGCGAGTGGAGATCTGCAGGCTAATAAAATGTGTGGCAGAGCCCTGTCTTCCAGCCTCCTTTAATGACCTGTGTGTAGTGAAGTATTGACCTAGTGCTTATCACTTCCATTCTAGTGTGCTTAAAGGCCACATCTGTGTTTGAGGCAGATATTTGATAGCCTTTTGAGGAAATTGAGCAGGTTTATGTTTTGTTTAGAGACAACTGGGTGAGAGTAGAAGCTACAGGAATGGAATTGACTTGCAAGGGTATCATTGAGCAAGGTGGTGGTAAAGGAAGGAGTAGGTAAAGGTTATCTCTCTGCTAGTCCAGTACCACTTAGACTATACTGGTTTACTGACGGATTTAGCAGTCTCCATAGTAGCTGTCAGACTGTGTCACTTGCATAGTTTTTCTTTTGTGATGTATTTATTTTTTAAATATAGAGTTGTCTCTATTTCAGTAGCACCCACTTCTGCACTTTAATGCATACAAATGTCATACATTGTATGTGTGGGTGAAGGGGAGGGAGCAAACCACAAAACTCAGCTTAGAATACAAGAAAGAATTCAGAATTTTCAATATAAAAGACTGAGTGATTAAGAGAGGAATAGTTGAGGAAAAAATCAGGAATTAATTTAAGCCCATACAAAAACTCTGATGATAAATTCGTGCTTTTTTCACCAAGGCTAAAATAAACAAGGAATTCTAGTTCTCAGTATTGACTGTACTTAGTTTAAATTCCATTTAAGCCTATTGGAAAGGAATTATTTGTATCTACTTTAAATACAGAGGGAATTAAAGTTTAAAATTCGGTTTCTGAGGTTTGTCTTTAATATGCTTCCTTCAACTAAGTGCTTAAGTGCTGAACCTTTTAAGCTAACCAGTTCACCTTAGTGTGCATACTTAGTTTATCAGACTTAATGACCACATTTCCAGTGCATAGTGGATGTTGCTAATGCAGTTGATTTGTTTCTTGTTTGAATAACCACCGTCGTGTGTCTCACCATTTCTTTTTGTGTAAGCCCGATCTGATGCATGCCCTATCGCACTGCATGCTGGAACCAGTGGAATATGCTCGTGTGGTACAGTATGATTCACATTCCATTACATATTTGTGGAGTGCTCCAGGCTGGGGAAAAATAAAATAGCTTGCATCTGGTAAAAGGACAGGAAAAACAGCATTAGCATATAGAGGTAGCTTGTAGAGTTACTTGCCTTTGCCAAGGAAGCTTAACATAACATCTTTGTAGTTGTGCAAAATAAATTAACTGCTGCTTAGTGCTCTGATTGTAAGTGGCCTTTGTTCCTTTGAACAGATTTTTTTCTCAGCCTGTGCCATCCTACATTGACACATATGAGTATGTGTGTGTTTGTGTAGAGCTTTCCCAGGTTGTCCTGGGAAGTCTATGATCCCACTGGTAAAATCCAACTTTCTTCTGACAACTAAATGCATTCTCTGTATATCAGCACATCAATCAAGATAGTTTGTTAAATGCTAAATGATATTAATGCACTAACGTGTAAAAGGAGTCTTTTCCCAACACTATAAGGTATTTCTGCTGGCCTCTGTAGTCCTTTTGCTTGCGTGATTGCTTTGCTGCTCGAGCTTAGACACAGCCTTCCAGCCTAGCCAGCATGTGGATGCTTAGTGAACATCAACACTAAAACTTTTCTTGCACAAATTGCAAGAAGCAATGCCAAGATTTGTCCTTTAGTTGACCAGCAGTAGCTGTTCTTCAGCTATGCTCCAAATTCTGCGAGGGCCTGGGGATGGTTTGTAGAAGATTTTGATTCTGATCTATGCTGAAATCAAGGAGAGTTTTGCCGTTGATTTAAAGGCTCTACTTGCTCCTCTTGCTTTTTGGAAAAGGCCATGTTCTTTTCTTTTGCATGACATTCATATTGTGTGCTGGCTTGCCAGACATACCATGTTCTGAATATCTCTGAGAGAATTTTGCTGTCTGCGAGCTGACAAGTCTCTTGATGTAGGTAGTGTATGAGAAATCACTAGCTCACTTGAATTATCTTTTGCTGTGTTTTGCTTTGTTTTTCCCAAGCTTTAAGTGTTTTCATGTAGTTATTGGTGTCTCTTTCTTTGGATCTGCTGCATTCATGCATCTCTCTGGAAGGATTTTGACTTAAATTGCTTGCAATAAGGTAAAATGTGTGAACGAAGCAGCAGCATGGATTGCTGCCAGATGCAAGAGAGTCATTAAAAGGGATGCACCATATTCTGCAGAATTGGCTTCTATTGAGAGAAAAGCATAACCTTGTAAATTGTTCTTGACTTAGAGCAGAATGCTATGAAGGATCCACCGTAAAGAGTTTTCAATGCTTAATTCCTTTTTCTTTTCTTCTTCTTTTCTTTTGTTAGCATCACATGAACACTTGTTTTCTTTTGGTAGGTGCGTTACCGAAGAGACCATCTTTCAAGCAGGCAACTCCCTTACTTCCCTTTGCTTGAAGATCTGATGAAGGATGGTAGCGATGGTGCTGCTCTTCTGGCTGTGATACACTATTATTGTCCAGAGCAAATGAAACTGGATGGTATGTAATAAAGGTTTAAATATATATATATGGATATTCTTTAATCTTTGAAAGTTGAACTAGAAATACATTATCAAGTGAAAATGCAACACATCTAATAAGTAGTGGACTACAGCAAGTTAGAGTTGGGTCACGTGGAATCTGCCTCAGTGTATTTAAGAAGCAACCTCTGGTTTTGCTTTTTTACTTTCTGCATTTGGAAGGCTCTGCTCTCTGTATTACAAGCTACAAAATAATCCTTTTATATATCTAGATGATATGGCTTTTTTTGTTCAACTAACTGAGCTTGGTTTCAGTAGATCATAAAAAAGGAATTCCTGTCCACTACTGTGTTAGCTGATCATCCTCATGTTCTCCTGTAGGAGTACATAATCTGACATTTTAAAATCTAGATTTTAAAATATTTTCTCTATTCTTCAGCAATTGTCACTCTTCAGCATTGAAAACATGAGTTGTTTTTGCCAAAAAGTGTTGTAACTTACCTTTCTCACCTTTCTAGATATTTGTTTGAAGGAGGTAACATCAATTGCAGACAGCCTCTATAACATTCAACTTTTGAGAGAATTCTCAAATGAATATCTAAACAAATGCTTTTACCTCACATTGGAGGACATGTTATATGCTCCTTTGGTTTTAAAGGTAAGAAACAGGATGAAGGGTATGGTTTTAACTAAAATGTTAGTAAATCACAAGGGTTTTGTGACTGCTAAGTGTGTTTCTTCTTTGTTTCTGTTTTAGCCTAACGTCATGGTATTCATTGCGGAACTCTTCTGGTGGTTTGAGAATGTCAAACCAGACTTTGTACAACCAAGAGATATTCAGGAAATTAAAGATGGTAAGTTTTTAACTCGTCATAGATATTAGCATGTTGTTTAAAAGATATTTGCATTACAATGGAACTGTTGCACAGTAGTGTTTCCTTTGGTGTTTTGTTTCTACCCAAATTTTCTGCTTGCTGGGGATCTTCTAAAGCAGTAAAAACAGAAGGAAAGTTAGTTCTAGATGCACTTGAGTTCTGATTCTTCGAACAAGATAGATAACTTTTTCCATAAGCCCACTTCTATTTACATTCTTTCCATTAAGTTCACCATAAGATACATATTTTAGTTAAAGACTAGTACCTAAAGTTTCATTTTAGAATTGTGTCATAAAGTTTTCATTCTAATGTGAAAAGGTTCTGCTCTGTTTTGTTATTTTGATGGCCAGTCTAAGTTGTGTTAATGTTGTAAATATATGCACAGTTAAAGCAGTGTTGCAGCAGAAGAGCAGTCGTCCTCCTGTTCCTATTTCCAATGCCACCAAGCGCAGTTTCATGGCCAGCCCTGCTAGTACAAGTCCAGCAGACTTGCAGCCTGCAGCTCAGGCAGGTTCTGAAGCTTGCAGCAGATACTACCTGCACCCTGAGGAGCCTGACTATCTGTAAGTCTGGTTTCATGTTCTGTAGACTAATCTTCAACTATGCTTCCATTTGGGTAACATAACTTCTGCTGCTAAATGTTCACTACAAACTGAGTGAATTTGAGTTGTGTGCAGTGAGTCTCTAAAATATGCTCAACTCTCAAGTTCAGAGCAACACTTTGTGCTGTTGTTTGATCTTTGGCAAATGCCAGTAAGCCCCACCAGTTAATGTCACCATTGAATGACAGAAGAAGTTAGTTTAACTTCTGCTTTGAAAAAGACTTTTAAAACATGAAAACTGTTCAAGCAGCTCATCTTTACTAGCCATGGAAGTAGTAATGACAATTTCCTTTTCTGAACTAGTGGCAAAGGAGGAAGCCCTGCTTTTAGTCCTTCCCATCCACTGCTCCCTTTGAGACAAAAGCAACAAAAATCTTTACAGGGAGAAGACAGCCCTGGTAAGTCTACCTTGAATTTGCGTTTCAACAGTCAATGACCATGTCAATAGAGTAATGAATAAAAATATAAGTTAATATATCTGAATAAACTAAAATGGAATTAAACTGCAGTCAGCCAGGTGGTAAGCATGTTGAGTTTGAGTAAGTCATCTTTGTTTGCTTTAAAAGGTTTTATCAAACAAGTGAGCTTATCTCTTAGAGTCTCAAGTGCAAGAAATTAAGACTGATAATGTAAATTCTGTGAAAAGAAAGGAAAATCCCCTGCTAAGTCAGACTAGCAAAAGTCTGTAAGACTAGCAAGTCTTGGGAAGTACAGTTGTCATCCAGAATGACAAACCCACTCTAGGAGTTGACATGTTTTCACTAAACATTTTTTTAATTACTGAAAACCTAGGGCTTATTCTTACCCAGGGATGCTCAGCTAAGGTACCAACCAAACATTCCAACTGCTTAAGCTCTAACAACAGGCAGTGAGGACTTTTTAAAGGTTGGGGGGATGAGAGGGAAAGCAAACTGAACAGTTTGCTGTTTGAAAACCCAAAAGTCAGGTACGTGGATGTCATTAGGTTTCAGTGCATTTTTTTTCAGGCTTTGTTCATCCTTGGTTGGTATTTCAGCAGATCCGTTTGCTGCTGCCATCTCTTGGTGAAAGAGTTTATTATGTTTGCTCTTAAATAAAGTAAAAGTGTTCATTTAAAGACCATTTCTAAACTGATAACAATTCAAAATATGTATTTCAGGTCATCGACATCGTTCTAATTCTCTGACCCGTGTTGATGGGCAACCACGAGGTTCAATTCTTGCATGGCCTGATAGGAAGCCCAGGTAACAGATGCATTTAAGTATTGCAGTACTGCATAATGGAAGGATACTGTGACAACTTCACTGTAGCACTGTGCTGTCATTTCCTTAGAACTGCACCGAGAGTCACTTTAATTTAGTTTTTATGTACGTTTTCAGAGATGACTGGTCTTAAGTTTGCAATTGAAAATTAAATTTATATCTTAAGTTGCTATTTAGTATTGCTGGTCACTTTTGATAACGGATACAAAGGAGCAAAAATTGTCACTTAATTCAACAAATTGTAATTTTTTGTGCTTAAGCATCAGTAGAATGTTCTTATCTTTTCTAGGCCTCTGTCTCAGCCAACGCCATTTGCTCTTCATCATTCTGCCAGTACTGATGTGGACCCTGGGTCTGGTGATAGCATTAGTCTGGCTAGATCAATCAGCAAAGACAGCCTTGCTTCAAACATCATTAATGTAACTCCAAAAAATCAGCCCCATCCTCAATCCATGAAGACTAATGGGAAGAGCTTGCTGAACAATGTTGAAATCGAGGATGAAGATGAAGAGCTTATTGCAATAATCAGATCTGAAGAAAGGCCAAACCGTGCTGATGTGGAACTGCAGAATGCATCAGCCAGGGTGCCCAGCATAGTTGCATCTGCATGGTCTCCAAAAGCGAATAGTGAGACTTCAGAAAGCAAACCAGACAGTTTTTACTTGGAGCCTTTAATGCCTGCTGTTCTAAAACCAGCAAAGGAAAAACAGATCATCAACAAAGAGGATGAATGTGGGGAAGGGAAACAAAGGAGTTTTACAACAAAAAGATTAAATGAAGGACACTTGTCTTTGATCCGCAAGAAAACAAATAGCAGTTATGGTGAGCATGACCTCAACAGGACTTTTACTCCAATTTCTAGTTCTGATTTCACTCCAGTTGCAGATCCTACTACTGCAGATTCAGTGGCACTGGTGGAGGGAGGTTTAGAAGCTTCCAGACCTTTGGCTAGTAGCAGTCTAGCTCCTTCTCCTCAGGAGCTATCCACTGGAGGATTTTTTCTTCATGCTGCTAAATCTGATGATGACATAGCAAGTAAAGTCAATGTAAGTTATGTGAAAAGTCTCAATTCACATGTTGCAGATACTACATGGACTATGGTGAGACAGGACTCTGATTCAGATCTTTTAGACATAGAAGACGCTGAACAGGATTTGGTAGTCATAGATGACCATCCTATAGTTGCTAAATACATTGGTGAGGAAGAATCTGCAAAATTGCAAGAAGATATGAAAGTAAAAGAGCATGAAGACAAGGATGATGCCAGTGGACGGTCCAGCCCTTGTTTGAGTACAATATCTCAAGTTAGCAGCGTGTCCATGACTAGCGGGAGTGTCCGAATGACCAACTTCGCCGAACGAAAGCTTCAGAGACTTAATAGCTATGAAACAAAGTCCAGCACAAGTAGTTCACAGAAGACCACACCAGACGGATCAGAAAGCTGCCCAGCACCACTCACCACGTGGAAACAAAAGCGAGAACAAAGCCCCAACAGGCAAAATAAAGATAATGTTAATCTTTTAGCTTCTGAATTGGTGCAGCTTCATATGCAGCTGGAAGAGAAAAGAAGGGCAATAGAAGCTCAGAAGAAGAAGATGGAAGCCTTATCGGCAAGGCAGCGACTAAAATTGGGCAAGGCAGCTTTCTTGCATGTTGTTAAAAAAGGGAAATCTCCTGATGTTCCCCAACCTCTGAAACCAGAACATTTTGCAAAGGAATATTCTCGGCACAACGGTGAAGACTTAGATGAAGTTTCTTTGGGTTCCAAATCTGAGGAGTTTCTTGTGAAAGAGGAGGAGAGAGAAGAAATGCTCAATGATTCTCCAGAAGTAACAAGAGTAAAAATGCAAGAAAGCCTTGCTTTTGCTGAGCAACATAAAGCTAGAGACTCTGCTGCTATACATGACTTGGAAAAAAGTAAAATTATTTCTGTTGCCCTCCTAGAAGACAATGTTTCAGAAGTGGATATAAATGAATGTGATCTTTCTATCGAGAAACTAAACGAAACTATCAGTACTCTTCAGCAGGCTATATTGAAGATTTCTCAGCAACAGGAACTACTTATGAAGTCTCCAACAGTGCCATCACCAGGAACCAGAAGTAACTCTCAGGACCAAAAAGTAAAACCATCAATTCACTTTGTGGAGCCCCTCTCTCCAACTGGAATGAACAGTCTTCGTAAACCCCCTCGGTTTGGTCAAGGAAGGAGCCCTCGGTCAGGGAGACCATCTGATTTGAAAGTCAGTAAAGACAAACAGCAAAATTCAACACGTGTTAAAACCCCAACACAAAGCCTAGACACCCTGACACATTTAAGACCGTTTCCATCCAATAACTTGTTAAAGACACCAACAGAAATTGGCTTGGAAAGTAGCCCTGATCATGGGAGTGGTTCTCAAGAGAAGTGTTTCTTTGATACCTATAGACTTCATGATGAGAGCAATCAAAGGGCGCTTGTTCTCTCCACCTCCAAAGATGCAAATATTATTTCTGAAATGAGCAAGGAGGTGAATAACAGCTTCAAGGAAACAGGGTTGAATTCTTCTGATGGCTCAGGAAAAGAAAATGTCCCAGTGGATGAGCCACTGAGAAGCAAGGCTAATCTCATTGAAGTAGACTTGTCTGACTTAAAAGCTCCAGATGAAGGAGAACTTGAAAACCAGGATAGCTCTACGGATATGATTAGTGAAGGTGATCAGAAGTCTGGTGTGGGTTTTTTCTTCAAGGTAAATATATTACCTTTCTATATTTGGTTATTTTCACACACTGGTCCAGCATTAGAACTGTTTTAGTCCACTTCGTGCTTCAGTCTTCTGATGGAACATGGTACATTTTGGTTGCAATATTAGGATTTTAAAAACTGCATTGGGAAAGAACTGCTTGTGGAGAATAAGGGTTTTGACTTAATGGACAAAAACCTTGTTAACTTTACTAGGAACAAGAATTAACCTTGCTTTCCTTCTTTCCCATACTTTTTTCTATTACACAGTACAAAAGAATCACAGAATGCAAGGGCAGAATTTTTCTGCTGTGAACCTGTGTCAACTGAAAGAAAAAGTCCTGACAGAACATAGGCATCTAGAAAAACCTGCTGGAGTCTGAACTGGGGTTTCATTGGCATTTGCACCCAGATTTCTCAGATTTTAAGCAGACTAAAATTCAAGGGAAGAAATGACTGTTTTCCATGCAGCTTTTGGGTTTGTCCTGTAATGGTGGTGTACAGGGCTCACAATGAAAATACATTATTCTTTCTCATTTCACACGTAACTGGCTTGGAGAAAGGGTTGTTGTTAAGCTGGTGGGTTTTTAGGACAGTGCTGTTTCTAGTGGTTGGGTTGGATATATTTTAGGTAGTGTGCATACTCCTCCTATTGAAGTTCGGAACTGCTGACAGAACATTTAATACCTTAATTTATGCTTAGCAATGATTATTGTAAATACCTTAAATGTGCTGACATGGTGATACTTTTTTTAATTTCTCCTTCAAGAAAGTCAGGCTGGGATGTCTCAGGCCTCGTGATTTTAACTTCTTGTTTTATATAGTGTGATTATATATTGACTGACTCAGAGGTTATCATTATGCCGGGGTGGTTTGTGCTGTCCATTGTAGCTCATGTGGTAGTTGCATTGTAATCTGCGGTTCTTGAAGTTTTTGTGGTGATGAAGCAAGCTCCAAGGCAAGTCAGAGTAAGATGACACCCTTGTTTTTCTACTCACAGACTTAAGGGAACAGAAAAACTGCCTCTTCGATTATTCTTGAGCAACAAACAGTTCAGTACAGTTCTGATTTACACTCAGCAATTATCAAAATGTAAAGATTTCCCAAAGTAATAGCTTATGTTTTCCTAAAATCTTCCTGGTATCTTCAGCAATGTTGTCATGTCCAGCTTAGGATACTCTCTTCCATTCTTTAAAACTCTCTGGATTTTACAGGATGAACAGAAAGCAGAAGATGAGCTCGCAAAGAAACGTGCAGCGTTCCTCTTGAAGCAGCAGCGCAAGGCTGAGGAGGCTCGGATTCGGAAACAGCAGTTGGAGGCTGAAGTTGAACAGAAAAGAGATGAAGCTCGGTAGTAACATCTGGAAAGGAATACTTCTTTTTCATCTCTAAGAGGAGGAGAAGTGTTTATATGTTGACTATAATGTTGTGTTTGCTTTTTAGTCGCAAAGCTGAGGAGGACCGAATACGGAAAGAAGAGGAGAAAGCGCGAAGAGAACTTATCAAGCAAGAATATCTAAGGAAAAAACAGCAGCAAATTTTGGAGGAGCAAGGGCTTGGAAAGCCCAAATCCAAGCCCAAAAAACCCAGGCCCAAGTCAGTCCATCGTGAAGAATCTTACAGTGATTCAGGGACAAAGTGTTCTTCCACACGTAAGAGCTGTGATTTGTTTGCTCTCTCTGCATCCGCAAACTGGCATTAAGAAAATGTGTTTCACATGTTCTCTTTTACTTTGTAGCTGACAATTTGAGCAGTGCTCAGTCTGGTTCCAGTCTGTCTTTGGCCTCAGCAGCAACAACTGAACCTGAAAGTGTGCACTCTGGCGGCACACCGTCTCAGAGGTAGAAAGATAAGCTTAACTTTAGTACTTCTTTAAATGGTGTTGGGATTCAGTGTTGTTGGCTTCAGTTTGCTGACATAGAGCTACAGTAGTAAGTAGTGAATTCATCTTCTGTTTTATGTGGCTGCCAACTCCCATGTTCTGTACACACTTGCAGTTTTGTTTTGTTTTCTCCCAGTGGAAGAATAGAATTTCACTTTGATGATCGAGCAGGGACAATCTGACTGTTTGGGGGAGGAAAAGGGACTGTAGCCTGTTCCATTCAGAGCCAGCAAATGGTGAATTTATTTAAGAGGGGGAAAAAACCAAAATCGTGTCATATAACTGTTTTTATTCCACCCCCCCAGAGTTGAATCAATGGAGTCCTTACCAATACTGAGCAGAAACCCCAGCAGGAACACAGAAAGAGATTGGGAGAATGCTTCAACTGCATCTTCTATTGCTTCAGTGGCAGAATATACAGGTGACTGCTTCAGTTTGAGCATTTGCTATGAATAGTGGGTCTTAAAAAGCTGTGGTGTATTTGATGTGACACATTGTTATTTTTGAGAAGTTGAGGTGCATTTCGTCCTGTTTAATATCTCTAAGTTATTGTGGAGGGTTTTCTGGTTTTCACTTTGAATGGAAATCTTAATGGTCATAAATGTAGAGCAAATAATTTTTACTTTTGTATCTTCCTTAGGTCCAAAATTATTTAAGGAACCCAGCAGCAAATCAAACAAACATATTATTCACAATGCGATCTCTCATTGCTGTCTTGCTGGAAAAGTGAATGAACCACATAAGAATTCAATATTAGAGGTAAAATACAATATTATTAATGCACTCAACAGAATGTATCTGTAGCAAATGCTATTTCCTAAAATGTGCCTGCATTGAGGGTCCTTTATTTCTCTTGACTATATGGAGTTGTGGAAAACATGATCCTGTATTAAGAGTTGAACTCGTAAGCTTATAAAAGGACTGAAAATTGTAGTTATAACACTTATTCAGCTATATGTGAAAACTTAAAGCTTGACATAGTACAGGAGTCTTCACTGTGAGCAATCTATGTGTATGTTTGTTTGTTTGTTTTTAATGCAGGAACTAGAAAAATGTGATGCCAACCACTACATCATTTTGTTCCGTGATGCTGGCTGCCAGTTTAGAGCACTTTATTGCTACTATCCTGACACTGAAGAAATCTACAAGCTGACTGGAACAGGGCCAAAGAGCATCACCAAGAAAATGATTGACAAACTTTATAAGTACAGTTCGGACAGAAAACAGTTTAACGTGATTCCAGCCAAAACCATGTCTGTCAGTGTGGATGCTCTTACTATTCATAACCACTTGTGGCAAGCCAAGCGACCTGCAGTGCCAAAGAAGACTCAGACTCGTAAATGACACTGAGTTCTTGGGGAGAGGATTGCTGAATGGGATGGCATCGAAAGAAGACATGTTTACCATTTTCCTCCAGTTTGGTATGAAATGTGCAGAACCATAAACATTTTTTAAGAAGCTTCTAAACAGAAACCGTGGATGCAAGTTATAAAGAATGAAGGAACATTGCCAGTGTTTTTTATGAATAATAAATCTGCTGTTACACCCAATGCTAACTACTGTGGCTTTCAACTGATGAGGGACTGTGCATGTAGCAAGATCTTTAACAAGTGGATTTCCTTTTACTTGAAGCTTTTCATCGGTACAAATTGGGAGTAATTTAGTTCCGTTTCCTCTCCGCCTCATTCCCTCCTTTCTCCTGTCACTCTTCAAGTTGGCGAGCTCTGAACTTCAGTAGAAAGATTGAACAGATCTTGGGTGAAGTGCTTTGGGTTTGGTTTGGTTTTTTTAAACAGTCTTTAGGGAAACCTTCCTTTCAGACTTTTTTGAGGAACTGTTTAATACATCAAATTGTTGTACTGTATCTACTGCCAACGTTAAGTCCAGCTCTCAGATTTCTGAACAAAGCCCCCAACTTGTGCTGCTCAGAACAGAGATTACTCGCAGTATCTCTTTAGGATAAGCACTGCAAGGATTGCAAAAGCCAGTCTTTTTTAATAAAACCCAATTGCTCACAGATGTAAAGATCTCTGGAATACAATCATGAAGAGGCATACTACAGGTGCTACTAGCTGGAACACGCCTGACTGAAACTTAAGGCGAGCTGAACAGAGCACAGTTATTACTGATTTCAGTTTCAGGTAGTGTCCTAAAGATTTGTTTGCTTTAATAAAGATGGAATCTGGTAGGTATAGAACATTTCCACTCTGAGCACGCTACTCCTGTACGATGGTGCACTTAATGATCACAGATTTTAATGTTTTTATTACATCATGAAATGTAATTCTACTTTCTTTGTCCTGTCTTTATTCTGAATGAGCAGCATGCTCGAAGATGAAGAGTGTGTTATGTTTTTTATTTTGGGTGAGATATTAATATATATTGATTTTGTTTTTCTCATTTAAAAGCAATTTTTAAACAGAGACATTTGCATTTGTTTCAGAAGCCCAAATAAGTCGAATGGCTTTGGATTTCTTTTCATGTTGAAATATTAAATCTTGAGTTATGACCTTAAAAAGTCTTCGTGTTTCAGCAGATTAAATTTTTGTCTGTGGTAACAGGGTATATTTGCAGTTCGGTTCCATTCTTTTAATACTCCCATTTCTCATTTGTGGCCCCAGCCAGGCTTCAGAGTAGGTTTCTGTAGCTATGACCTAACTTAATCTGCTAACATGCGCCTGCGCCATCCGGTTGGACACTGCTACCCGAGGGTCATGTCGGCTTATAACTTTGGTTTGCACACGTTTACTTTTGTTTGAAGTGTTACTTGAATACGTATCTCTGCGGTGCAAAAGGCACTACACCACCCGAGAGATGAACTGAGCTCTGCAAGACGTTATAGTGTAATTATTAAACTCTGAGAATAATGGAAGTTATATAGAGTTATGTACATAAGGGGAAAATAGGGTACGTAATAAAGCGCTATCTAGATAGAGCAAAGTGAAGGTCTTCCGTTGTGGTCTCTCCATTTTACTTTTCCCCTTCCAGTACTCCTTGACTAGGCTGCTGCAACTTTGTAAATTATGTTAGATAGTTTGCTGCTTGTAAATAATTAAAGGCTTTATGGTTTCTAAAGTGCTAAGTATTAAACACAGTCATGAGTGTAGCTTTTGTTACCATGCTGTTCATGCTTGTGCTTTATTTCTCACTGTTTGATATTATATACCATATTTATTTTATGAAACACTGAAATTTAATAAAAACCATTAACTGATTTCCTTTTTATTTCATGTGTACTTTTGTTGTTGTGGCACTCCATCCCCTCAAAGAACTAATATGCTTTAAAGATGTGCTATTCTATGTTTAGTTGTGCTTTTAGAAAGCTTCAGCTGTAAGTAGCTGTAATAACTTCATGGCAAGAGCTTCATCCTCCTGACCCTCATTGCAGCGTGCAACAACTTGACCAAAATGCTTTCAGAAAACTGGAAAGTAATTTCACAGTCTCGTTAAAGATTTATTTCATCAGTCTTCAGACTCTTGAATCTGGCTGGTGGGTTTCCTTTGATCTGTGCGGTCAGTGACAGAGTTTTGGAAGCACTAAGAATTTCTTCTGTTGGACTTTTCAGTGTTAGTTTGCTAAGACAAGTTGCCTCTAGAATTTAGAAATAAGCTGGTTGTTGAAGCTTCACAATGAATCCATATGAGTTGCATAGAAGTGAAATTTGCATTCTCAAAGCTATAGACTTTTCCAGTGCAGAACTAATTCTTCGTGCCTGTACGATAAATTGTTCCAGTATGTGCAGGCAAATGCAGACAGTGTTTTGTAGCAGGGAGACTAATTACTTTTCTTAAGTAGATTTTGTATAATCCAAACGTCAACCTCATTGTGTTCACTGCCTGCTGTCAACCCAGGGTAAATGTGGTTGTAGGACAGTGACAACGTTTAGTGACATGCTGTCAGTGACCGAAAATCATCCCGTGCAGGAACAGTTGGGTGATCCATGCACTGGCAGCTGCCATGGAAGAAGGTGCCAGCATCTGACTTGCTGATGTCTCAGCTTCTGAACATCACTACTTAGAATACGAAATTGCCTTTCCATGGCCACTTGAGTTTGGTGCAAATACTCTCCCAGCTGAAACACCTGGACAGTTACTGGTGCTGTGCTTCA